TTCTCATTAAAATAGGGGGTTGTTTAGTAAATACACAATGTAAACCCTAAAATACAAGGGCTAATTGGATCGTCTGGTTTGACTTGTTGACTTTGACTTGACCCGAAATTGACTACTGTCACATGTGATTAGTGAGATTTTAGTGGAAAATGATATTGATTGTTCTAATTTTGTTATAAACGATGATAAGGAAATGATGAACTTGATTTTTGACAATGCTCCTCATTTTGAAAAAATGGTTGAAATCAATGGAATTGAGAATTTGATAAGAAAAAAGGTTGTGTTTCCAAAATTCCAAAGTACTCCAAATCAAATTTTGTTACAAAAGGACTCGACCAAACTGATACCACTGAATTTAACTTTTGTTTCGAAGACTAATAATTTCAAATCATACGAGAGTCTTTTTTGGTCTAGACCTTTAGACAATGGTGAAGAGAAAATAGGTGTTTCACATAAGACTTCTTGAATAGCGAATAATAGATACATTTCAGACTACTTCACAAGTTGTAGAAAATTCTGACTCTCATGATAGGGAACCTATTTCAAATGAGAAATCTAGTTTGGTTGATCCAAAATGATAATATAAGAAGTGTGATAATGATGTTTAAATCAAATACAATAAGAAAGAAAAGATTAAGGCTAGGAGAGCTAGAGACAAAAATAATTTGAAAGAAAGGAAGAAATTTTACAAACAAAAAGTGAATTTTTTTTTTCTTTTTATTTTTTTATATTGATATGTAACATCTCCCTCTGGTACGTATCACAATATTGTACGTATCATAGTTTCTATGGGATTTGTTGTCATTACGACTTTAAAAAGCATTGTGACAGGGAAGGTATCCACACACATTTACTGATAACTATTCATATTATTAGGTCTCGCATTTTGTAGAAGTTGTGTGTGTGTTTGTATGTGAAATGTTTCTTTTTGCAATATGTGATGTCGTCAATTTATGTCACAAACTTGTTGATCTATAAATGTTAATTCAGTCTCATAGTTTTAGCACTAGGCTTCAAAAATTATTGTTAATTTGTTTGAACAAGGTGTCTTAGCATAGGTGTGATGACCACATTGGTCATTACCTAGCCGACTCCCTTGTTATGTCGTATAGATAAAGGATTTTATTTAGAAAGAGAGAATATCTTTTGAATAAGTTCTTACATCAACTTTAATTGATCTTCTTTTACACTCAAATGAAAATTCAGATCATTATTACATTCGTGTGTTCGTTTACTTTCTTATTTACGATCATGATTTTAATCTTTTAGAATCTCAATGATGCTAAAAGGCAAAATTGTTCGGATCTCTAACTTAGGTTACTAATTATAATATGATTTTGATTTTGACAGATATTGGTTTATAATTTTGGTATTTCGGCATGGTTATAGTTTCCAAGCTTCCTTATTTTATTTTTTATGTTTGAACCGACAAACTAACCTACTCTTAAAACCACCTATGTCTCCTAATAGGACTTGAAATCACAAACTCTTATTTGAGAGATTCACTCATTACTTTTATATTTGAACAATGACATTGATTTCTGGTTAGAGTTTTAATTTTTCCGCCTCCATTATGACTTCTACTTTCAGGTTTTGGTTGTCGGAGTTGACCAAGACAACAGACACCTACTTTTCTTTTTCTTAGATCATATGCATCATTATAATCCTTTTTTTTTTTTTTTTTTTTTTCTTTCAGTCGTGGGTTTTTCAAAATAACGAGGTTGTAATGTTGTGTGGTTTGTCAGAATCATTATTTATCGTTGGTTACATTTTTGTTTGGCTCTGAGAGAGAGAGAGAGAGAGAGAGAGAGAGAGAGAGAGAGAGAGAGAGAGAGAGAGAGAGAGAGAGAGAGAGAGAGAGAGAGAGAGAGAGAGAGAGAGAGAGAGAGAGAGAGAGAGAGAGAGAGAGAGAGAGAGAGAGAGAGAGATTGAAAAATTGGAGGCCGTTATTAAAAGTAAGGGTACCAATATCATTTTCCCAAAATTTAACCAGCTAATCTAAGGGAATTAATAGGTGGACCGAAATTGAAAAATTGGAGGCCGTAGTGACGAAATTGATACAAATAAAAAACTGACTAAAATTCTAACATCTCTTAAACCACAAGGGTCATTTCTGAAATTTAGTCTAACCTTAAAGTTCAAGCAAGCTAAATTCAACTACAATGACAAAGAGATGTACTAGATGATGGCAAATAACTACTAGATACCACATTAAAAGAGGATAGATATAGATAATAGAGTTGGTTTTTGTTTCACTAATTTGGAAAACTATGCAACCACGAGAGTTTTAATTCTTTCGAACTCTGTCATGTCCTTTATTTCCATCAACCTTTAAATTTAAGCAAATTTCTTATCACATCCTTAAAAGCAGTTTCCATTCCGAGGAAAGAAGGCATAGGCAAGATACAGAAGATTGTAAAAGTCATGAAAGAATGAAAGATGCATTAAATACTCAAGGAGAGAAGACATGTCATGATGAGTTTTTAATATCTTCAAGAAAGAGACCAAGTGTTATGTTTACTTAGACATGTGACTTGGTTTGATAGATAACCTTTTACTTTTTATGAAAGAAAGACAAAAAAATTAAGCCACGATGATATAGTTTTTATGAATATTTTTGGACTTCTTGATACTTATTAGTATCATAAATCAAATGCTTTTCCTTTATGTTCTGTTTATTGCCACTTCATCGGCGATAAACAATAAAAGGTCTACCGCATGATTTACTCATATCCATAGATTCCCCTGGTAGTAAGTTGAAAAAGGAAGAGCAGTACACGATCACTTGCCAACTTTTACATTCAATTTTTTAGATCACCAGACAAATTTACATTAACCAAATTAGTGTAACTATTACATGACAAAAATCGATTGAAACCGTTTTATATTCATAACCATTTATATGAAAGAAATCATTATCTACTCTAATTATCATACTCTATATTGAAATAAAATAAATAATAATGAATTGTTCAGAAATCTTATATATAAACATTATTCTACATGCTTTTTAGTGGACGTAAATGTGTGGCATATAAGCTAGTCTTATCTTAAAAAGCTTTTACGATGGTACATCATATGACACTTCCAATGCATTTACTTTCAAAAAGCAACACTTGGTGTTTTTAATTCGCAATGAATTTTCATCCTAACAAGACATTCAGAGAGTGTACCGTATGGCTGATAGATGGTCTCACTTTTCT